GCGCTGCGAAGGCTGGCGAGAGAGAGCGCGGCTGGCCGGGTTGGAGCGGAGGCAGGAAGCCGGGCGGAGAGACAGTTGACGCGACCGCAGAGAGCGCGGGGTTGGGGAGTGTTGGTCTGAATGTCGGGGTTGGAGCCCGTCACTCCGAGCGAACTCCCTTCCTCCCTAACTTATCCCCGCGACTTTCTTTTGGTTTCCAGTTTCCCGGAGGAAATGACAATTACCTGACGATCACAGGGCCCTCGCACCCCTTCCTGTCTGGGGCCGAGGTGAGCACGAGCGGCCGGCGCTGGGGGGAGGGCTGGGGCGGGAGGAAGCGACGGGGAGGCGAGGATCCCGGGGCCGGGGGCTGGCAACCGAGGCCGCTGCTAGTGTTTCGGCTCCTCTGGACCCCGAGGACGAAGGGGAGGCCCGGGAGCTGCACTCATCAGGAAAGCGGGGCGGAGGGAAGTGCTAACCTATTTCCGAGTGATTCTGGGGTGGGGGAAGACAGCGTGAAAGTGTCTCCTTTGGTTGGGGAGAAATACCGACCATCTCGAGGGAATCGGAGAGGGAAGAGAATATGTCAGCTAGAGAAACGGGGGTGAGGGAAGGAGCTTGCCTAAAAGGGGCTAGCCGTGGGCATGTGTTCCTTCCGTGTGTGTGTGTGTGTGTGTGTATATATATATTTGATTTTTTACAGAGAGGAAGGGAGAGGGATACAGAGTTAGAAACATCGGTCAGCTGCCTCCTGCACACCCGCCACTGGGGATGTGCCCGCAACCAAGGTACATGCCCTTGACCGGAACCGAACCTGTGACCCTTCAGTCCGCAGGCCGACGCTCTACCCACCGAGCCAGACCGGTCAGGGCTGTGTTCCTTCTTGAAACAACTCTGTTGAGAGGGGAGGGGGATCTTTGTTTCATTCAAATTTCCTACTCAGCGATGGAAACAGGAAAGTTAGCTTGTTTTGCTAGTGACAGGCTGAAAGGAAGTTGTTACCAGGAAACATGAAAGAAGTTAAGTGAGACAGGGGCTTCTGTTCGCCGGTGACTCGGGTTGTGTCACCTCTGTGTGTCCCAGTTTCTCCAGCTGTCAGATGGCTTCAGTAGCCGCCCCTTGTGGTGTTGAGACGTGGCTCCGTGGCCGAGCGTGGAGCTATCGGCACCGGGAGGTCACGGTTCCATTCTGGTCAAGGGCACATGCCTGGCTGCGGGCTCGATCCCCAGTAGGGAGCGTGCAGGATGCAGCTGATCAATGATTCTCTCTCATCATTGATGTTTCTCTCTGTCCCTCTCCCTCTCTAAAATGAATAAAAATGTATTTTTAAAAAAGACTTAAAAGAAAAAGAAAGTGCATCATTGCCAATTTCTTCTAAATCAGGTCTCCACATTTAAGTTTCTTTATTTAGACTGTGGCAATTTCACATTGTCCACATCTAGAAACTTGATGAGTTTGAGCCCGTCCTTTGTTTTTGTTTTTATGACTTTAAGACAAAAGTACTTTGCCAAGAAGCTGATAACTAAATTTTAGTGGCTTCTTTTAGCCCAGGATTTTGCCATTGTTAATAGTTCTCCTCATTGCCACTTCACCTTCCTTTCCCGTTTTTTGTTTTGTTTTTTTGGGGGTTTTTTTTTTTTTTAGCTTTATTTTAATTGGTTTATGGTTTTTGTTGTGTCTGGTCTTATTGTGAGCCACTTAGAACTAGTAAAGGTAATTTAAAAAATTTTTCTTTTAGAGAAGGGGGCGGTTAGAGAGAGACATCAATTTGTTGCCCTACCCATTTATGCATTCATTAGTTGCTTCTTGAATGTGCCCTGACAGTGGATTGAATCTGCAATCTGGCATGTAGGACAATGCTCTAATCAACTGAGCTACTCACCCAGGGCATTCATTATATTGAGTACTTCCTAGGTGCTGAATATGTCATGATAGGAGGCAGTGCATGGTGATGGAGAGATCTCTGTTTAAATCCTGTCTCTCCCTATTTTTTTTGTTACAGTTGACATAGTGTACAACATAGTGACTACACATTTATATAACTTAGGAAGCGATCACCTGATAACGCTAGTATGAGCAAAAGATTTGAACACATACTTCACAAAAGAGCGAATCCAAATTGCCACTGGGCATATGAAAAAGGGTCATCATCACTCATCAGAGAAATGCCAATTAAAATTAAGGTGATACCATTGCACATCCACCAGAATGTTTAAAATTAAAAAGACCGACAATTCCAAGAGTAGACAAGGATGTAGATAACTTAATCATTGCTGCTAAGAGAGTAAATTGATACAACCACTCTGGAAAACTGGCAGTATCTACTAAGGATAAGCATATACTTACCTGTGACCTAGTGATTCCACTCTTTGATACACACATGAGAGAAATGAGTGCATATATTCACCCAAAACATGTATGTATGTTCACAGCAGTTTTATTCATAGTAGCTAAACATTGGAAACAACCCAAGTGTCTATAAACTGGTACATGTGTAAAAAGGAATATTACACAGCAATAAAAAATGAACTATTAATAAATGCAACTTGGATGATCTCAAAAATACATTGTAAGTAACAGAAGCCAGACATAAAAGAATAGACACTATATGAGTTCATTTTTATTGAAGATAAAAAATACGCAGTACTAAACTATAGTGATACAAATCAGAATAGTGATATCTGTTGTGGAAGGGGGGAGCATTGACTGGGAAGGAGCATGAGAAAATATTTTGGAGTGATAGAAATGTCTGTATCTTTGATCTGAGTGGTGGTTAATTGGATGTTAGCATATGTAAAAAATCCATTGAAGTATATATTTAAAAATTGTGTACATAAGTTATACTTCAGTCAATAAAAAATAATTTTTAAAGAGTAGGTGTCCAGAGAGAAAAGCATAGCATTTGTTATAACATTGCTTGAAATAGGAAATGTCTATAATCTAAAGGGAGTTTAATCTTTTGTTTCATTCAGTTTG